TAATTCCCATTTACCACTACACTGATTTAAAATACGTCATCACTATGTTTAATTCCCATTTACCACTACACATCTTCAAAATACGTCATCACGGTAACCCATTTACCACTAAACATATTGTAATACGTCATCACTCTATGTAATTCTATTTATATATATCTTCAAAATACGTCAACACTATGCGTAATTCCCATTTACCACTACACATCTTCAAAATACGTCATCACTATGTATAATTCCCATTTACCACTACACATCTTCAAAATACGTCATCACTGTATGTAATTCCTTTTTACCACTACACATTTTCAAAATACGTCATCACTATGTGTAATTCCCATTTACCACTACACATCTTCAAAAAACGTCATCACTGTATGTAATTCCCATTTACCACTACACATCTTCACAATACGTCATCAATATGTGTAATTCCTCTTTACCACTAAATATCTTCAAAATACGTCATCGCTATGTGTAATTTCCATTTACCACTACACATCTTCAAAATACGTCATCACCACGGTAAATCCTATTGACCACTACACATCTTCAAAATACGTCATCACTGTATGTAAATCCCATTTACCATTATACATCTTCAAAATACGTCATCACTATGTGTAATTCCCATTTACCACTATATATCTTCAAAATACATCACTATGTGTAATTCCCATTTAGCACTACACATCTTCAAAATACGTCATCACTATGTATAATTCCCATTTACCACTACACATCTTCAAAATACGTCATCACTGTATGTAATTCCTTTTTACCACTACACATTTTCAAAATACGTCATCACTATGTGTAATTCCCATTTACCACTACACATCTTCAAAAGACGTCATCACTGTATGTAATTCCCATTTACCACTACACATCTTCACAATACTTCAATACAACGTGTTATTCCTATTTACCACTACACATCTTCAAAATACGTCATCAATATGTGTAATTCCCATTTACCACTAAATATCTTCAAAATACGTCATCGCTATGTGTAATTTCCATTTACCACTACACATCTTCAAAATACGTCACCACTATGTGTAATTCCCATTTACCACTACATGTCTTCAAAATACGTCATCACTATTTGTAATTCCCATTGTCTATGACTCATCTCAGTTTCAATTCAATTCAGTTCAATTGATCTTAAAAATGCGTCATAACTTTATGTCTATCTCCAATTAACCCAGACGCAAGTTCGAATGACAGTGAATTGATTTAACCTACATAGCTGTTTACTGTTGCGTCTTCCTCACAGATGCACTTTCAAGATGGCGGTTGATCCCCCGGGGGAGCAAGTGATACTGTGTGCCGGACACCGACAAAACTTTACTTACTCATCAATAAATATGATTTATTTTCAAACTGATTTTCTCAACACGTTGGTTGGCCTTTAGGTTCCCAGGGATCAGGTTAATGCCAGACAAAAAGGACTTTTAATGGCTTACATTACTTGTGTTCTCCAAGGAGCACTTCCCAATCCTTGTCAAAAAACCCAATACATCACAACGTCACGCAGACACCATCAAATGCCTCGTACTGTTCTTACATCTCACCGTTGACGTCATCTTATCATGTTTTTGATGTTTAAACCTGTCCAGTAAAATTAAGAAAAATATCTAGTGCTTAAACTATCTCTAGACTGTATAGGAGTCCCTATAGAGTATAACATCAATGTATATTTAATGGGTACACTGTCCCCTCTAGACTGTATAGGAGTCCCTATAGATTATAACATCAATGTATATTTAATGGGTACACTGTCCCCTCTAGACTGTATAGGAGTCCCTAAAGAGAGTATAACATCAGTGTATATTTGATGGTACACTGTCCCCTCTAGACTGTATAGGAGTCCCTAAAGAGAGTATAACATCAGTGTATATTTAATGGGTACACTTCCCCTCTAGACTGTATAGGAGTCCCTATAGAGTATAACATCAGTGTATATTTAATGAGTACACTTCCCCTCTAGACTGTATAAGAGTCGCTTTAGAGTATAACATCAGTGGATGTGTTTTATCAGTGAAGTTTACCGATTCCTATCGGTTTTACCGTGTATATAAGTAGGGTTCACGTCAAAGTATTAATATTTGATAACCATAAAATTAAAACGTCACCACAGAGTTTGCCGATACATAACGAACGTATATAGTGATAAGGCTTTTAAGTAGGAGACATAACTCAGACTGCACAATGACAGACACAGCCACACTTATATGGGAGAAAAAACTTTCATAATTTACACTTTCTGTTCTGTCAGATTTTCTCACCAGCAGCTCCGCGTACGAAAACCAACACTTGTTAAGCGCGCGCTGATTCATTTAATGGTTGTTCCACTTTGTGTGCAGTATGTGTAAGTACCTGTACCATTAAATGACACATGTTAAATCTCTGTGTTGTAACACCCATGTCAATCCAGATTTGATTCTGTGGAATGCAAATGATATCGATCTAAAACACTGTTTTTTTTTCGGTGGTCACATGACAGAACTGGTTTAACCCAATAGTTACTTGACAGAACTGGTTTAACCCAATAGTCAAATGACAGAACTGATTTAACCCAATAGTCACTTGACAGAACTGGTTTATCCCAATAGTCACATGACAGAACTGGTTTATCCCAATAGTCACATGACAGAACTGGTTTAACCCAATAGTCACATGACATAACTGGTTTAACCCAATAGTCACATGACATAACTGGTTTAACTCAATAGTCACATGACAGAACTGGTACATGCAATTTATACACAGGGGAGTACAAATCGGAAAAACTGAAGAATTGCTGTAGGGAAATCACCGTGGCCAATCGCCACATCCGGGTCTCCAAAATGTATACAAAGGGGTGAACAAATCGGAAAAACGGAAGAACTAATGTAGGGAAATCACCCTGTCATATCGCCACATCCGGGTCTCCAAAATGTTTACGCAGGGGAGTACCAATCGGGGAAAAGGAAAAATTGCTGTAGGGAAATCCCCGTGTCCAATCATCACATACGAGTCTCCAAAATGTATACGCAGGAGAGTACAAATCGAAGCGTGTAAGAATGAGGTCAGGAGGTCAGGTATGGAACAGTCTTCATATTGTTCCGAATAATTGAGGTTGAATTCTGTATGGTTAATCCAGAATGCTTGACAAAGATTCGCCAATCAGAGCAAATTTTCATATTTCACTTTTTGAAACTCGCTTTCCTCTCATTTCTAAGAAATGCATCATTACAATCAAATGTTTTGCATATATAACACACCTGAACATGAATTTCTATTCCTTAGGCTGTAGAATTTCATAACCATACCTATTCTATCAATGTGTCTTTAATAAGAGACGGCGGTGGGTTTATATGAGTTTATTACTTGTTTCCGAATCCGATACATTGTGATTGTTCTAATATTAAAATGTATTTGTATTGATAGAAAATGAGACCATCAAAACTCCAACAGTTTTGGCGTTCAATCTATGTTTTATATGGCGTTGACGTTACGCTAAATTTTGCCTGATGGCGTGCGCCAAACCAGAGACGTATATATCACGTTATATATGTCTCTGGCCAAACTAACTGCTCCGCGCGGAAATATAGTTCCACAATACAACGGATATGTCAGCGATTTTATGAGAATTTTTAATTTTCGTTAATAAACTTGTTATAAAATCACTTATTTCAATAGGTATTTATATTATTAAACGTTAATTTTAAAGTAAATTTAGAGAGTAATTCTGTCGAATTAACGCACGTGCTAAGATACAGCTGTTTCTTTAACCGCCGAATACAGAAAAAAAAGTATATATATATATGGCAGTTGTATTCCGATAATTGCACCAGCAGTTGCATGATAAAATGTTTATACTTCAACATTATTTTCTACTTGCATTGTCGGAATACACTTGCCATATATATACATTTTTTTCTGTTTAAATACACACACACATATATATACATACATATATTTTTGCTGTATACGGCAGTGACGGAAAACAGCTGCGTTTTAGCATGCTTTACACTGTGATCACACCAACATAACAAGCGAGACAACTCGAACAGAGTTTAATACCATAATTATCTAAAACAAACAAACAAAATAAATACTTCTGCACACTCAGTTTTCTTAATTTTACCATTGTCAGTTTAATGTTGGTTCCGTTGTCGTACATCTCTTTCTCATTTGGAGACATGCCATTATCCATTATTAACTTGCATTAACCAGTATTTTCGGGAGGAGGGGGGGGGGGGGGGCAGGGGGGAGGAGGGGGTGGGTGGGGGTGGGTGGGGGGGTAGGGTAGGGGGGTATCCGTGTGAGTACATTTCTTTTTGTTCCTATGTTTCCTATGATTCTGTTGATATGTTTGTGATGTCTTGTATTACAAACTTGTTGGAAAGTTAGTTTCAGTCTATGACAGTAGTTTGGAAAAATGGCAATTTCAACATTTGATTTAAGTGTACCACCGGATAGATTTATAGAAGTTACTCTTATTTATCTGTTGTTTTTCTCCACAATATTGCTCATTACAAACTCAACAAAGTTATATGCATGTGCACGTCTTTTTCCCCAAATCTATTTTTAGATAAATATTTGTTTATGGAAGTCTCTGTTGCTATTTGACTGTAAGACCCAAAATTAAAATCGGAATATTTTGATACAACGTTGAGCTTCAAAGTCGATCAAACAATCATGTTCTGGATATCAATAGTTCACTTATAATAATAGCAAAATGTAAGATAGTTTTATATAAGAAAGTGCTTTATTCATTTGAATTGCTTCGGAGTTTTATGTTGGTCACTGACTACAGTTTGATTTCAAGTCCGTGGTCAAACGTTATTCTTCTCTAGTTTTGGTGCAATGCGGAAAATCTGTCTCCTTTCCGGTTTGTTGATTAGGTATTTCATTAACATTTCCGGAAGTTGCTGTGTCATAAAGTTAGCTGAGGAACTTTTAAATAGAATATTCGACGTCTTGTTAGATTGGCAGATGTATAGCCAGCGATGGGTGCAGAGGAAAGTATACTGGATGGCTGCGACCTAGAAGAAGGCACAGTAGAGGAGTCGTGTCCATGGGTTCTACGTCATGGCCAGCTGGCAGATGACACTCTCATCACAATTCTGTCTGACCAAAACTGTGATCGGACCAAAAGAGAGTTATTCCAACGAAATGTCAAGGTTTTATTAAATAAGAGTATAAAATCTATCATGTATTTATTAAAATTTTATTTGTAAATATATAAAGCAAGTTAAATGTGGAAATCATGCCGCGTTCATAATGATCTTAAAGTCGAATATTATAGTATCGATGTCGTATTGATAAGTTGTTATCATACCGTATTTTCCGTCTACATAACTGTGTTGTACTGTCTGCGTAGTTCTGTTATAAAATCATATATATGTAATCATAAGGCTGTAGATTCTTTGCCTAATCAAGACCTCTAATTCCAAAGTAACATTTTCTGCAAACTAGCATTTAATTAGTTTGAATGTAAAATATTAATTGAATAAAAAACAATAGTTATACTCTTGTATCAATTTATGAAGTCATAGCTTGTCATTATCAAGAAATATTTGAATGCATAGGGTTCCACAAGGACATTCAGGTGTCACACTGAGAGCTATGATTATAATTACCATCAACACATTTTGAGATAATCCAGTATTGCTAGAGGTTCAACATGGCAAGTAACTTTTGACATATCTGCCAACGCAATCAGCTGAACAAAGACCTCTTATATGTGTCTGGAGAAACTGAACTTAGGCTAGATTCATGGTTTCACCATCCTGAGATTGTTGTGACCCGGCTAGCCCCAACACCACCTGATATTTTTATATGCATGTGGCAGGTTATTCAGAGTATGTGGGCCAAAGTGCATGACACCCATAACATCAAAATTGAACTTACCTGGTATCTGGTGTCATTAGCTGTTGGTGTAATGACAAGACAAATCCAGTACAACATAAAACCTACTTACCATACAAGCCCACAGAATGTGTGCAGGATTTTTTGAGAAAATAATGTCCAAAGTGGGAGGTGTGAACAATATGTAGCTATAGGATTTACAAGGGTTATTTTTCATGGAAAAGTCAAAAATTCTATGAGGCAGCCATAATTGATTTTCAGGATTATCTGGTACTCAAAACTGACACAAAAAGGATTTAATGATTTGTTTATGAGCAACAATAATACATAAGAGAATTACTGTATATATTAATGCAAACTATCCAAGACAATATCGTGCTACTAGCAAGACAAATCGATCGGCAAGGACAGTGCCCTATTTTGTAATTGAAAATAATGTCGATTATAATAGAATTATCTTTTGAAACACTTGTGATTGATTAATGAGATTGTTTTTTCATCCTAAATTCTTCTTCTCTTTCATCTGTAAAGTCCAAGAAGTCTGAAATCCTATCAATAAGAATATATAGTAATACCTGTAAATGTATGAACTTGTAATTAAAACAGGGATCATTATACTGATAGAATTTCAGGCTCCTTTTGGTTAGGCAATGACTTGGTTCCAAATGTAAATAATGAAAATATGTTGTAATCAAGCCCGTAGATAAGACAGTGAAGTATGTAGGCCACTCAAACCAAATTTAACGTTTATAATCAACAAAAATACGTTATACTCAGTAAACCCTATATTGGGTAATCTGATATTTAATACAATGTTAACCTTTGTCCATATTTATATTAGTGTATTTTAACTTTGATCTTCTTCTTTCTTTTTTTTCCTGAATAATGTATAAAATATTATGGTGAACTTAAATACATATTATCTGCTGTATTGCTGCATGGTCATATGTTTTCAATTATTTCTGTTTTATTTTTAGAATTTGAAGAGTTTGCGACATCCAAGTATAGTGAGATTTCTTGCCTCAGGAGACCAATCCAGCCATGCGTACATTGTAGTGGAGAGAGTGGTTCCTGTTCTTACTGTTCTTGAGACCCATTCCGCCATTGAGATCTGTGCTGGACTTTTTTCAGTTTTAGAGGGACTATCCTTCTTACATGAAAAGGTGTGAATTGTTTCACATTTAGATGCTAAGTATACATCTAGCTTCATTACTATGTACTGGTATTACACAGAGTGTGATCCATAGTAAGGCATGTCACACATTTTGGTGTGTTAGTGGAAAAAATGACTTAAATATTCTGTAATTAAAGATGCTTCAATTAATAAAACAAAGAAGTAAATAAACAGATTAAAAAATTATGTTTATTTGAAATTGAAAAGTCTTTTTTCATTTGACTCAGGCTGGCATATGCCACAATAATGTATGTCTGGAGTCAGTGTTTGTGACTGACACAGGTTACTGGAAGCTAGGAAGCTTGGAGCATGCCTGTAAGTTTGGAATGGATACTTCCCAATATCTCACTTCAGCCAAGAATCACAGGAGTTCAAAGGCCATTGCACCAGAGGAAAGGGTAAAATTCCATAGTTTTCGGGATCTGTTATCAAGATAAATATACATCTTGGACCTTAAGTTGTTTTGAAAAATGACAAACCACTAATAAAATATCTATAATTTATTTTTCCAAATTATTTTTTTGTCACTGTCAGCCATTTCCATAACAAGAACTGAAGTTCTTGTGTGAAACATGAAAAATAACAACTTGAATCAGATTTCTTCAGCCTGTTCTCACTATAACCTGTGCTTTATTAGGTCTGTTCCAACTATAACCTGTGTTTTCTTTAGTCTGTTCCGACTATAACCTGTCTTTTCTTCAGTCTGTTCCAACTATAACCTGTGCTTTCTCCAGTCTGTTCCAACTATAACCTGTGTTTTCTTCAGTCTGTTCCAACTATCACCTGTGCATTCTTCAGTCTTTTCCAACTATAACCAGTGTTTTTTTCTACAGTCTGTTCCGACTATAATCTGTGTTTTCTTCAGTCTGTTCCGACTATAACCTGTTTTCTTCAATCTGTTCCAATTATAACCTTTGCTTTCTTTAGTCTTTTCCAACTATAACCTGTGCTTTCTTCAATCTGTTCCAACTATAACCTGTGCTTTCTTCAGTCTGTTCCAACTATAATCTTTGCTTTCTTCAGTCTTTTCCAACTATAACCTGTGCTTTTCTTCAGTCTGTTATAACTATAACCTCCGTTTTCTTCAGTCTGTTCCAACTATAATCTTTGCTTTCTTCAGTCTTTTCCAACTATAACCTGTGCTTTTCTTCAGTCTGTTATAACTATAACCTCCGTTTTCTTCAGTCTGTTCCAACTATAATCTTTGCTTTCTTCAGTCTTTTCCAACTATAACCTGTGCTTTCTTCAATCTGTTCCAACTATAACCTCCGTTTTCTTCAGTCTGTTCCAACTATAATCTTTGCTTTCTTCAGTCTTTTCCAACTATAACCTGTGCTTTCTTCAATCTGTTCCAACTATAACCTGTGCTTTCTTCAATCTGTTCCAACTATAACCTCCGTTTTCTTCAGTCTTTTCCAACTATAACCTGTGCTTTTCTTCAGTCTGTTATAACTATAACCTCCGTTTTCTTCAGTCTGTTCCAACTATAATCTTTGCTTTCTTCAGTCTTTTCCAACTATAACCTCCATTTTCTTCAGTCTGTTCCAACTATAATCTTTGCTTTCTTCAGTCTTTTCCAACTATAACCTGTTTTTTTCTTCAGTCTGTTCCAGCTATAACCTGTGCTTTCTTTAGTCTGTTCCAACTATAACCTATATTTTCTTCAGTGTGTTCCAACTATAACCCGTGTTTTCTTCAGTCTGTTTTAAGTATAACCCGTGTTTTCTTCAGGCTGTTCCAACTATAACCTGTGCTTTCTTCAGTTTGTTCTAACTAAAACCTATGTTTTCTTCAAAATGTTCCAGCTATAACCTGTGTTTTCTTCAGTATTTTCCAAATATAACCTGTGCTTTCTTCAGTCTTTTCCAACTATAACCTGTGTTTTCTTCAATCTGTTCCAACTATAACCTGTGTTTTCTTCTATCTGCTCCAACTATAGTCTTTGCTTTCTTCAGTCTGTTTCAACTATAACCTGTTTTTTCTTCAGTCTGTTCCAACTGTAGCCTGTTCTTTCTTTAGTCTTTTCCAACTATAACCTGTGCTTTCTTCAGTCTGTTTCAACTATAAACTGTGCTTTCTTCAGTCTGTTATAACTATAACCTGTGTTTTCTTCAGTGTGTTCCAGCTATAATCTGTGTTTTCTTAAATCTGTTCCGACTATAACCTGTGTTTTCTTCAGTCTGTTCCGACTATAACCTGTTTTCTTCAGTCTGTTCCAATTTTAACCTCTGCTTTCTTTTGTCTTTTCCAAATATAACCTGTGCTTTCTTCAGTGTGTTCCAACTATAACCTGTGTTTTCTTCAGTCTTTTCCAACTATAACCTGTGTTTTCTTCAATCTGTTCCAACTATAACCTGTGTTTTCTTCTATCTGCTCCACCTATAACCTTTGCTTTCTTCAGTCTGTTCCAACTATAATCTGTGTTTTCTTCTGTCTGTTCCGACTATAACTTGTTTTCTTCAGTCTGTTCCAATTATAACCTGTGCTTTCTTTAGTCTTTTCCAACTATAACCTGTGCTTTCTTCAGTCTGTTCCAACTATAACCTATATTTTCTTCAGTGTGTTCCAACTATAACCCGTGTTTTCTTCAGTCTGTTCTAACTATAACCCATGTTTTCTTCAGTCTGTTCCAACTATAACCTGTGCTTTCTTCAGTCTGTTCCAACTATAACCCGTGTTTTCTTCAGTCTGTTCTAACTATTACCCGTGTTTTCTTCAGTCTGTTCCAACTATAACCTGTGCTTTCTTCAGTTTGTTCTAACTAAAACCTATGTTTTCTTCAAAATGTTCCAACTATAACCTGTGTTTTCTTCAATCTGTTCCAACTATAACCTATATTTTCTTCAGTGTGTTCCAACTATAACCCATGTTTTCTTCAATCTGTTCCAACTATAACCTATATTTTCTTCAGTCTGTTCTAACTATAACCCATGTTTTCTTCAATCTGTTCCAACTATAACCTGTGTTTTCTTCCATCTGTTCCAACTATAACCTGTGCTTTCTTCAGTCTGTTCCAACTATAACCTGTATTCTCTTCAGTCTATTCCAACTATAGTCTTTGCTTTCTTCAGTCTGTTTCAACTATAACCTGTTTTTTCTTCAGTCTGTTCCAACTGTAGCCTGTTCTTTCTTTAGTCTTTTCCAACTATAACCTGTGCTTTCTTCAGTCTGTTTCAACTATAAACTGTGCTTTCTTCAGTCTGTTATAACTATAACCTGTGTTTTCTTCGGTGTGTTCCAGCTATAATCTGTGTTTTCTTTAATCTGTTCCGACTATAACCTGTTTTCTTCAGTCTGTTTCAATTTTAACCTCTGCTTTCTTTAGTCTTTTCCAGATATAACCTGTGCTTTCTTCAGTGTCTTCCAACTATAACCTGTGCTTTCTTCAGTGTGTTCCAGCTATAATCTGTGTTTTCTTTAATCTGTTCCGACTATAACCTGTGTTTTCTTCAGCCTGTTCCGACTATAACCTGTTTTCTTCAGTCTGTTCCAATTATAACCTCTGCTTTCTTTAGTCTTTTCCAACTATAACCTGTGCTTTCTTCAGTCTGTTCCAACTGTAACCTATATTTTCTTCAGTCTGTTCCAACTATAACCCGTGTTTTCTTCAGTCTGTTCTAACTATAACCCGTGTTTTCTTCAGTCTGTTCCAACTATAACCTATGTTTTCTTCTGTCTGTTCCAACTATAACCTGTGCTTTCTTCAGTCTGTTCCAACTATAACCTATATTTTCTTCAGTGTGTTCCAACTGTAACCCGTGTTTTCTTCAGTCTGTTCTAACTATAACCCGTGTTTTCTTCAGTCTGTTCCAACTATAACCTGTGCTTTCTTCAGTTTGTTCTAACTAAAACCTATGTTTTCTTCAAAATGTTCCAACTATAACTTGTGTTTTCTTCAGTCTGTTCCAACTATAACCTGTGCTCTCTTTAGTCTGTTCCAACTATAACCTGTGCTCTCTTTAGTCTGTTCCAACTATATCCAATATCTGTATGCCATTCTGTGAAATTTATTGCAGAGACAATTTTTACGAGGTAATAAGATCTTTATGAGAAAGCCTAGATTTTGGGATTAAATGCTGTTTAAGATAATCACCAGATCATTTTTTGTGGTAGGATGAGAGTATGACTGCTGCCCCAGAACTAGCCTTTGCGAGAGATGTGTATGCATTTGGTGTGATGGTGGAGGAACTGTTGGAAAAACTTGAAGACTTGGGTGAGTAAAAACAAACTCCCTAGTGACAGAAAAATATATCTTCAGAGGTATTTTTGCATGTTATAGGGCAAGGTAATAATAGTGTTCCATAGACATATATTTTGTCAAGGAATGTTAGGACAGATCATTTAAGTGCCAAATAATTTTCTCTCTATACATAAAGTTCTTGGCTATATTTGGACTAAATGTGACACTGTTACCTTTAATCTTTATGCAGTGATGGGCCAGGAAAAAAAATAGATTAAATAATAAATTTAGTTTAAAGATTAAACCAATCATTTGATGTCAAAATTGTAAAGACAATTACCAACGACAAACCTCCTTTTAATTTAAATACATCTAATATCATTAAATGTGTTAGAATTATAGGAAGTTATGAAATCAAATTTGAGTTTAAAATTTGGATTTCCCGAAATCAATATCACAATTTTGTAGTTATAATAGAACATTCTGAAAATATCCTAATAATTATGATAAATATCGTCAGTTTATCAAATGAGTCACTTCAAAGGATCTACATATAAAATAGAACAAGAAACAACCTTCATAAACCATTTTAAGATAAATCAACCTGAACATACTATTAAGCAGCTGTATTGTGATTTATATAGGATATGTGTATAAAGAACTTAGTCTTCCCACTATCCACACACCACTAGTCCAGTCTTCCCACTCTCCAGACACCACTAGTCCAGTCTTCCCACTCTCCAGACACCACTAGTCCAGTCTTCCCACTATCCACACACCACTAGTCCAGTCTTCCCACTCTCCACACACCACTAGTCCAGTCTTCCCACTCTCCAGACACCACTAGTCCAGTCTTCCCACCATCCACACACCACTAGTCCAGTCTTCCCCATTCTCTACACTCCACAAGTCCAGTCTTCCCACTCTCCACACAACACTAGTTCAGTCTTCCCAATATCCACACACCACTAGTCCAGTCTTCTCAATCTCCACATTCCACTAGTCTAGTTTTACCACCATCCAGACACCACTAGTCCAGTCATCTCACTCTCTACACACCACTAGTCCAGTCTTCCCACTCTCCACACACCACTAGTCCAGTCTTCCCACTCTCCACACATCACCACTCCAGTCATCTCACTCTCCACACACCACTAGTCCAGTCTTCCCACTATCCACACACCACTAGTCCAGTCTTCCCACTCTCCACACACCACTAGTCCAGTCTTCCCACTCTCCACACACCACTAGTCCAGTCTTCCCACTCTCCACACACCACTAGTCCAGTCTTCCCACTCTCCAGACACCACTAGTCCAGTCTTCCCACTCTCCACACACCACTAGTCCAGTCTTCCCACCATCCAGACACCACTAGTCCAGTCATCCCACTCTCCACACACCACTAGTCCAGTCTTCCCACTCTCCACACACCACTAGTCCAGTCTTCCCACTCTCCACACACCACTAGTCCAGTCTTCCCACTCTCCAGACACCACTAGTCCAATCATCCCACTCTCCAGACACCACTAGTCCAGTCTTCCCACTCTCCACACACCACTAGTCCAGTCTTCCCATTCTCCACACACCACTAGTCCAGTCTTCCCCACTATCCACACACCACTAGTCCAGTCTTCCCACTATCCACACACCACTAGTCCAGTCTTCCCACTCTCCAGACACCACTAGTCCAGTCTTCCCACTCTCCAGACACCACTAGTCCAGTCTTCTCCACAAGTCCAGTCTTCCCACTCTCCACACAACACTAGTTCAGTCTTCCCAATATCCACACACCACTAGTCCAGTCTTCCCCACTAGTCCAGTCTTCCCCACTATCCAGACAACACTAGTCCAGTCTTCCCTCCATCCAGACACCACTAGTCCAGTCTTCCCACTCTCTACACACCACTAGTCCAGTCATCGCAATCTCCACACACCACAAGTCCAGTCTTCCCCACTATCCACACACCACTAGTCCAGTCTTCCCACTCTCCACACACACCACTAGTCCAGTCTTCCCCACTCTCCACACACCACTAGTCCAGTCTTCCCACTCTCCACACATCACCACTCCAGTCATCTCACTCTTCACACACCACTAGTCCAGTCTTCCCACTCTCCACACACCACTTATCCAGTCTTCCCACTCTCTACACACCTCTAGTCCAGTCTTCCAACTATCCAGACACCACTAGTCCTGTCTTCCAACTCTCCAGACACCACTAGTCCAGTCTTCCCAGTCTCCACACACCACTAGTCCAGTCTTCCCCACTCTCCCCACACCACTAGTCCAGTCTTCCCACTCTCCACACACCACTAGTCCAGTCTTCCCACTCTCCACACACCACTAGTCCAGTCTTCCCACTCTCCACACACCACTAGTCCAGTCTTCCCACTCTCCACACACCACTAGTCCAGTCTTCCCACTATCCACACACCACTAGTCCAGTCTTCCCACTCTCCACACACCACTAGTCCAGTCTTCCCACTATCCAGACACCACTAGTCCAGTCTTCCCACTCTCCACACACCACTAGTCCAGTCTTCCCACTCTCCACACACCACTAGTCCAGTCTTCCCACTCTCCACACACCACTAGTCCACACACCACTAGTCACACAGTCTTCCCACTCTCCACACACCACTAGTCCAGTCTTCCCACTCTCAACACACCACTAGTCCAGTCTTCCCACTCTCCACACACCACTAGTCCAGTCTTCCCACTCTCCACACACCACTAGTCCAGTCTTCCCCACACTCCACACACCACTAGTCCAGTCTTCCCACTCTCCAGACACCACTAGTCCAGTCTTCCCACTCTCCACACACCACTAGTCCAGTCTTTCCACTCTCCACACACCACTAGTCCAGTCTTCGCACTCTTCAAACACCACTAGTCCAGTCTTCGCACTCTCCAAACACCAGTAGTCCAGTCTTCCCACTCTCCAGACACCACTAGTCCAGTCTTCCCACTCTCCAGACACCACTAGTCCAGTCTTCCCACTCTCCACACACCACAAGTCCAGTCATCGCAATCTCCACACACCACAAGTCCAGTCTTCCCCACTATCCACACACCACTAGTCCAGTCATCACCACACCACTAGTCCAGTCATCCCACTCTCCACACACCACTAGTCCAGTCTTCCCACCATCCAGACACCACTAGTCCAGTCTTCCCACTCTCTACACACCACTAGTCCAGTCTTCCAACTATCCAGACACCACTAGTCCAGTCTTCCCACTCTCCAGACACCACTAGTCCAGTCTTCCCACCATCCACACACCACTAGTCCAGTCTTCCCACTATCCACACACCACTAGTCCAGTCTTCCCACTCTCCAGACACACACCACACCACTAGTTCAGTCTTCCCCACTCTCCACACACCACTAGTCCAGTCTTCCCACTCTCAACACACCACTAGTCCAGTCTTCCCACTCTCCACACACCACTAGTCCAGTCTTCCCAATCTCCACACACCACTAGTCCAGTCTTCCCACTCTCCACACACCACTAGTCCAGTCTTCCCATTCTCCACACACCACTAGTCCAGTCTTCCCCACTCTCCACACACCACTAGTCCAGTCTTCCCACTCTCCACACATCACCACTCCAGTCATCTCACTCTCCACACACCACTAGTCCAGTCTTCCCACTCTCCACACACCACTAGTCCAGTCTTCCCACTCTCCACACACCACTAGTCCAGTCTTCCCACTCTCCACACACCACTAGTCCAGTCTTCCCACTCTCCACACACCACTAGTCCAGTCTTCCCACTCTCCAGACACCACTAGTCCAGTCTTCCCACTCTCTACACACCACTAGTCCAGTCTTCCAACTATCCAGACACCACTAGTCCAGTCATCTCACTCTCCACACTCCACTAGTCTTGTCTTCCCACCATCCAGACATCACTAGTCCAGTTATCTCACTCTCCACACACCACTAGTCCAGTCTTCCCACTCTCCAGACACCACTAGTCCAGTCTTCCCACTCTCCACACACCACTAGTCCAGTCTTCCCACACCACTAGTCCAGTCTTCCCACTCTCCACACACCACTAGTCCAGTCTTCCCATTCTCCACACACCACTAGTCCAGTCTTCCCCACTCTCCACACACCACTAGTCCAGTCTTCCCACTCTCCACACACTCGGACTGTATTTCACATGTGCTCACACCACTAGTCCAGTCTTCCCCACTCTCCACACACCACTAGTCCAGTCTTCCCACTCTCCACACAACACCACTCCAGTCATCTCACTCTCCACACACCACTAGTCCAGTCTTCCCACTCTCCACACATCACTAGTCCAGTCATCTCACTCTCCACACACCACTAGTCCAGTCTTCCCCACTATCCACACACCACTAGTCCAGTCTTCCCACTCTCCACACACCACTTATCCAGTCTTCCCACTCTCTACACACCTCTAGTCCAGTCTTCCAACTATCCAGACACCACTAGTCCAGTCTTCCAACTCTCCACACACCACTAGTCCAGTCTTCCCACTCTCCACACACCACTAGTCCAGTCTTCCCACTCTCCACACACCACTAGTCCAGTCTTCCCACTCTCCACACACCACTAGTCCAGTCTTCCCACCATCCAGACACCACTAGTCCAGTCATCCCACTCTCCACACACCACAAGTCCAGTCTTCCCACTATCCACACACCACTAGTCCAGTCTTCCCACTCTCCAGACACCACTAGTCCAGTCTTCCCACTCTCCACACACCACTAGTCCAGTCTTCCCATTCTCCACACACCACTAGTCCAGTCTTCCCCACTCTCCACACACCACTAGTCCAGTCTTCCCACTCTCCACACACCACTAGTCCAGTCTTCCCACTCTCTACACACCACTAGTCCAGTCTTTCCACTCTCCACACACCACTAGTCCAGTCTTCCCGACTCTCCACACACCACTAGTCCAGTCTTCCCACTCTCCACACACCACTAGTCCAGTCTTCCCACTCTCTACACACCACTAGTCCAGTCTTCCCACTCTCCACACACCACTAGTCCAGTCTTCCCACTCTCCACACACCACTAGTCCAGTCTTCCCACTCTCCACACACCACTAGTCCAGTCTTCCCACTCTCCACACACCACTAGTCCAGTCATCTCACTCTCTACACTCCACTATTCCTGTCTTCCCACTCTCCACACACCACTAGTCCAGTCTTCCCACCATCCAGACACCACTAGTCCAGTCATCCCACTCTCCACACACCACTAGTCCAGTCTTCCCGACTCTCCACACACCACTAGTCCAGTCTTCCCTCCATCCAGACACCACTAGTCCAGTCTTCCCACTCTCTACACACCACTAGTCCAGTCATCGCAATCTCCACACACCACAAGTCCAGTCTTCCCCACTATCCACACACCACTAGTCCAGTCATCCCACTCTCCACACACCACTTATCTAGTCTTCCCACTCTCTACACACCTTTAGTCCAGTCTTCCAACTATCCAGACACCACTAGTCCAGTCTTCCCACTCTCTACACACCACTAGTCCAGTCATCGCAATCTCCACACACCACAAGTCCAGTCTTCCCACTATCCACACACCACTTATCTAGTCTTCCCACTCTCTACACACCTTTAGTCCAGTCTACCATCTATCCAGACACCACCTGTCCAGTCTTCCCACTATCCAAACACCACTAGTCCAGTCTTCCCACTCTCCAGACACCACTAGTCCAGTCTTCCCACTCTCCAGACACCACTAGTTCAGTCTTTCCACTATCCACACACCACTAGTCCAGTCTTCCCACTCTCCACAGACACCACTAGTCCAGTCTTCCCACTCTCCACACACCACTAGTCCAGTCTTCCCACTCTCCAGACACCACTAGTCCAGTCTTCCCACTATCCACACACCACTAGTCCAGTCTTCCCACTATCCACACACCACTAGTCCAGTCTTCCCCACTATCCACACACCACTAGTCCAGTCTTCCCACTCTCCACACACCACCACTCCAGTCATCTCACTCTCCACACACCACTAGTCCAGTCTTCCCACTCTCCACACACCACTAGTCCAGTCTTCCCACTCTCCACACACCACTAGTCCAGTCTTCCCACCATCCAGACACCACTAGTCCAGTCTTCCCACTCTCTACACACCACTAGTCCAGTCTTCCCACTATCCAGACACCACTAGTCCAGTCTTCCCACTCTCCACACACCACTAGTCCAGTCTTCCCACTCTCCACACACCACTAGTCCAGTCTTCCCACTCTCCACACACCACTAGTCCAGTCTTCCCACTCTCCACACACCACTAGTCCAGTCTTCCCACCATCCACACACCACTAGTCCAGTCTTCCCACTATCCAGACACCACTAGTCCAGTCTTCCCACCATCCACACACCACTAGTCCAGACTTCCCCACTCTCTACACTCCACTAGTCCAGTCTTCCCACTCCACACATCACAACTCCAGTCATCTCACTCTCCACACACCACTAGTCCAGTCTTCCCCACTATCCACACACCACTAGTCCAGTCTTCCCACTCTCCACACACCACTAGTCCAGTCTTCCCACTCTCCACACACCACTAGTCCAGTCTTCCCCACTCTCCACACACCACTAGTCCAGTCTTCCCACTCTCCACACACCACTAGTCCAGTCTTCCCACTCTCCACACACCACTAGTCCAGTATTCCCCACCATCCAGACACCAGTCCAGTCTTCCCACTCTCCACACACCACTAGTCCAGTATTCTCACTCTCCACACACCACTAGTCCAGTCTTCCCCACTCTCCACACACCACTAGTCCAGTATTCTCACTCTCCACACACCACTAGTCCAGTCTTCCCCACTCTCCACACACCACTAGTCCAGTCTTCCCCACTCTCCACACACCACTAGTCCAGTCTTCCCACTCTCTACACACCACTAGTCCAGTCTTCCCACTCTCCACACACCACTAGTCCAGTCTTCCCACTATCCAAACACCACTAGTCCAGTCTTCCCACTCTCCACACACCACTAGTCCAGTCTTCCCACTCTCAACACACCACTAGTCCAGTCTTCCCACTATCCACACACCACTAGTCCAGTCTTCCCACTCTCCACACACCACTAGTCCAGTCTTCCCACTATCCAAACACCACTAGTCCAGTCTTCCCACTCTCTACACACCACTAGTCCAGTCTTCCCATTCTCCAGACACCACTAGTTCAGTCTTTCCACTATCCACACACCACTAGTCCAGTCTTCCCCACTATCCAGACACCACTAGTCCAGTCTTCCCACTCTCCAGACACCACTAGTCCAGTCTTCCCACCATCCAGACACCACTAGTCCAGTCTTCCCACTCTCCACACACCACTAGTCCAGTCTTCCCACCATCCAGACACCACTAGTCCAGTCTTCCCACTCTCCAGACACCACTAGTCCAGTCATAGTCCAGTCTTCCCACCTATCCACACACCACTTATCCAGTCTTCCCACTCTCTACACACCACTAGTCCAGTCTTCCCACTCTCACACACACTTCCCACTCTCCAGACACCACTAGTCCAGTCTTCCCACTCTCCACACACCACTAGTCCAGTCTTCCCATTCTCCACACACCACTAGTCCAGTCTTCCCAACTCTCCACACACCACTAGTCCAGTCTTCCCACTCTCCACACACCACTAGTCCAGTCTTCCCACTCTCCACACACCACTAGTCCAGTCTTCCCACTCTCCAGACACCACTAGTCCAGTCTTCCCACTATCCAGACACCACTAGTCCAGTCTTCCCACTCTCAAGACACCACTAGTCCAGTCTTCCCACTATCCACACACCACTAGTCCAGTCTTCCCACTCTCCACACACCACTAGTTCAGTCTTTCCACTATCCACACACCACTAGTCCAGTCTTCCCCACTATCCAGACACCACTAGTCCTGTCTTCCAATTCTCCAGACACCACTAGTCCAGTCTTCCCACCATCCACACACCACTAGTCCAGTCTTCCCCATTCTCTACACTCCACAAGTCCAGTCTTCCCACTCTCCACACAACACTAGTCCAGTCTTCCCACTCTCCACACACCACTAGTCCAGTCTTCCCACTCTCCAGACACCACTAGTCCAGTCTTCTCACTCTCTACACACCACTAGTCCAGTCTTCCCCACTCTCCACACACCACTAGTCCAGTCTTCCCACTCTCTACACACCACTAGTCCAGTCTTCCCACTCTCCACACACCACTAGTCCAGTCTTCCCACTCTCCAGACACCACTAGTCCAGTCTTCCCACTCTCCAGACACCACTAGTCCAGTCTTCCCACTCTCCAGACACCACTAGTCCAGTCTTCCCACTATCCACACACCACTAGTCCAGTCTTCCCACTCTCCAGACACCACTAGTCCAGTCTTCCCACTCTCCAGACACCACTAGTCCAGTCTTCCCACTCTCCACACACCACTAGTCCAGTCTTCCCACTATCCACACACCACTAGTCCAGTCTTCCCACTATCCACACACCACTAGTCCAGTCTTCCCACTCTCCAGACACCACTAGTTCAGTCTTTCCACTATCCACACACCACTAGTCCAGTCTTCCCACTATCCACACACCACTAGTCCAGTCTTCCCACTCTCCAGACACCACTAGTCCAGTCATCCCACTCTCCAGACACCACTAGTCCAGTCAGGAGACAGTAGGAAAGTGTTTGACCAGGAGCCTGCTGTGCCGTTTTGTCCTGCTTGATCTTGACGCTAAGAGACACCTCATTCCTAACTTACTTATGCCATATCATGGTATGTTCTTGAAGTTTGTACTTGTAAAATGTCTGTACATGTGGAAGTTCTGAATTGAAATTGTTGTCAGACTACCGCTAAGATTCCTCATGGGTTTTTTATGATCATTCTCATCAAAATCATGGTAAGATTCTCTGAAATTAAGGTTTAGGAAAGTTTTCTTAAAATTTGATTTTATAATTGATTCAATGATAAGTGCGTAATACATTTGATTTACGTTAAGCTAATAATATTTCAAATTTATATTTTGGGTGTTCCAGATGGTAACCGTCCAGCTGCCAGGACAGGGGAGGCTACTCCACTTTTCAGTGTGTCAACTTTCAGGACTTATGTGGTGCCTGAGATTTACCGCGTGTTCCATTGTCATGACTACAACATACGTATGATCCTCCTTACCTACTTAAGGCATTATGTTAATCTGTTTGAGAAGGAGAGTCTGGAAGATGTTATTCTACCTCAGGTAATCTAATGAGTGTTTGTTGTAGTAAAGTTTACCTCAGGTAATCCTATGAGTGTTTGTGGTAGTAAGGTTTTACCTTAGGTAATCCTATGAGTGTTTGTGGTAGTAAAGTTTACCTCAGGTAATCTTATGAGTGTTTGTGGTAGTAAAGTTTACCTCAGGTAATCCTATGAGTGTTTATGGTAGTAAAGTTTACCTCAGGTAATCCTATGAGTGTTTGTTGTAGTAAAGTTTACCTCAGGTAATCCTATGAGTGTTTGTGGTAGTAAGGTTTACCTTAGGTAGTCTTATGAGTGTTTGTGGTAGTAAAGTTTACCTCAGGTAATCCTATGAGTGTTTGTGGTAGTAAGGTTTTACCTTAGGTAATCCTATGAGTGTTTGCGGTAGTAAGGTTTTACCTTAGGTAATCCTATGAGTGTTTGTGGTAGTAAAGTTTACCTCAGGTAATCCTATGAGTGTTTGTGGTAGTAAAGTTTACCTCAGGTAATCCTATGAGTGTTTGTGGTAGTAAAGTTTACCTCAGGTAATCCTATGAGTGTTTGTGGTAGTAAAGTTTACCTCAGGTAATCCTATGAGTGTTTGTGGTAGTAAGGTTTTACCTTAGGTAATCCTATGAGTGTTTGTGGTAGTAAGGTTTTACCTTAGGTAATCCTATGAGTGTTTGTGGTAGTAAGGTTTTACCTTAGGTAATCCTATGAGTGTTTGTGGTAGTAAAGTTTTACCTTAGGTAATCCTATGAGTGTTTGTGGTAGTAAGGTTTTACCTTAGGTAATCCTATGAGTGTTTGTGGTAGTAAGGTTTTACCTTAGGTAATCCTATGAGTGTTTGTGGTAGTAAGGTTTTACCTTAGGTAATCCTATGAGTGTTTGTGGTAGTAAAGTTTACCTCAGGTAATCCTATGAGTGTTTGTGGTAGTAAGGTTTTACCTTAGGTAATCCTATGAGTGTTTGTGGTAGTAAGGTTTTACCTTAGGTAATCCTATGAGTGTTTGTGGTAGTAAGGTTTTACCTTAGGTAATCCTATGAGTGTTTGTGGTAGTAAGGTTTTACCTTAGGTAATCCTATGAGTGTTTGTGGTAGTAAGGTTTTACCTTAGGTAATCCTATGAGTGTTTGTGGTAGTAAGGTTTTACCTTAGGTAATCCTATGAGTGTTTGTGGTAGTAAGGTTTTACCTTAGGTAATCCTATGAGTGTTTGTGGTAGTAAGGTTTTACCTTAGGTAATCCTATGAGTGTTTATGGCAATAATTCTTTTTAGTTTTACAGAGGATAACTTCAGCAGTCAATGCAGCAGTATGACCGATGAGAATCATTGATTACTGGGATGTGTAATTGTAGGTGTTGTTAGGACTATGAAAATCATTGATTACTGGGGTGTGTAATTGTAGGTGTTGTTAGGACTACATGAAACATTGATTACTGGGATGTGTAATTGTAGGTGTTGTTAGGACTACGTGAATCATTGATAACTGGGATGTGTAATTGTAGGTGTTATCAGGTCTACGAGAATCATTGATAACTGGGATGTGTAATTGTAGGTGTTATTAGGACTACAAGAATCATTGATTACTGGGATGTGTAATTGTAGGTGTTTTTAGGACTACAAGAATCATTGATTACTGGGATGTGTAATTGTAGGTGTTGTTAGGACTACGTGAATCATTGATTACTGGGATGTGTAATTTTAAGTGTTGTTAGGACTACGAGAATCATTGATTACTGGGATGTGTAATTGTAGGTGTTGTTAGGACTACGAGATTCATTGATTACTGGGATGTGTAATTGTAGGTGTTATCAGGTCTACGAGAATCATTGATTACTGGGATGTGTAATTGTAGGTGTTATCAGGTCTACGAGAATCATTGATTACTGGGATGTGTAATTGTAGGTGTTGTTAGGACTACAAGAATCATTGATTACTGGGATGTGTAATTGTAGGTGTTGTTAGGACTACGAGAATCATTGATTACTGGGATGTGTAATTGTAGGTGTTGTTAGGACTACGAGAATCATTGATTACTGGGATGTGTAATTGTAGGTGTTGTCAGGTCTACGAGAATCATTGATTACTGGGATGTGTAATTGTAGGTGTTGTTAGGACTACGAGAATCATTGATTACTGGGATGTGTAATTGTAGGTGTTGTTAGGACTACGAGAATCATTGATTACTGGGATGTGTAATTGTAGGTGTTATCAGGTCTACGAGAATCATTGATTACTGGGATGTGTAATTGTAGGTGTTGTTAGGACTACGAGAATCATTGATTACTGGGATGTGTAATTGTAGGTGTTGTTAGGACTACGAGAATCATTGATTACTGGGATGTGTAATTGTAGGTGTTGTTAGGACTACAAGAATCATTGATTACTGGGATGTGTAATTGTAGGTGTTATCAGGTCTACGAGAATCATTGATTACTGGGATGTGTAATTGTAGGTGTTGTGAGGACTACGAGAATCATTGATTACTGGGATGTGTAATTGTAGGTGTTGTTAGGACTACAAGAATCATTGATTACTGGGATGTGTAATTGTAGGTGTTGTTAGGACTACGAGAATCATTGATTACTGGGATGTGTAATTGTAGGTGTTGTTAGGACTACGAGAATCATTGATTACTGGGATGTGTAATTGTAGGTGTTATCAGGTCTACGAGAATCATTGATAACTGGGATGTGTAATTGTAGGTGTTATCAGGTCTACGAGAATCATTGATTACTGTGATGTGTAATTGTAGGTGTTATCAGGTCTACGTAAATCATTGATTACTAGGATGTGTAATTGTAGGTGTTATCAGGTCTACGAGAATCATTGATTACTGGGATGTGTAATTGTAGGTGTTATCAGGTCTACGAGAATCATTGATTACTGTGATGTGTAATTTTAAGTGTTGTTAGGACTACGAGAATCATTGATTACTGGGATGTGTAATTGTAGGTGTTATCAGGTCTACGAGAATCATTGATTACTGGGATGTGTAATTGTAGGTGTTGTTAGGACTACGAGAATCATTGATTACTGGGATGTGTAATTGTAGGTGTTGTTAGGACTACGAGAATCATTGATTACTGGGATGTGTAATTGTAGGTGTTGTTAGGACTACGAGAATCATTGATTACTGGGATGTGTTATTGTAGGTTTTGTTAAGACTACGAGAATCATTGATTACTGGGATGTGTAATTGTAGGTGTTGTTAGGACTACCTGAATCATTGATTACTGGGATGTGTAATTGTAGGTGTTGTTAGGACTACGAGACACTAATGAAGATCTGGCCGCTCTCAGTCTGCGAAGCCTTGCTGAACTTGTACCATTGTTGGGACGTCAGACAGTAATAGGGGGGAAAGCCAAGACATATTTCAAAAAGGGAATGCCAAAGGTAATATAATATGTTAATGATACTACTCATTATGTAGGTTTTTATCTATACTTGATGGATCATATTACTGGACAGTTGCTTGTTATTAAGCCACAGATTTTTTTACTACACCTTATTCCGACGGTGGGCATTCAAGTTACTTTTCATCTAATGTCCATCCATAATCCAGTGAAACATTTATGTTATCAGTATAACTTGCAAAGTACAGGATTGATTTATTCTTAAATATTATGTGTTTACTTCTCTTCCACCCTGATAAGTTTTAGTAATGATTGTAGAAAAATTTAAATGTCTGCCAAGCAGAATTCTTTGAGTTTTGACTTTCAAAGTTTGTTATCTTTATATCTTGAGAGAAACAGAATAATATATATAAATATAAATAATATAAACTTTATTTATTTTACAACAATTGCGAAACAAGTTATGTCAACTTATACTAATCACTCTTGTTGGCCCAGATGTAAGCGCGCGAGGGGTCTTATTGTGGGAGGAAACCGGAGTACCCGGGGAAAACCCACGTGGTCCGGCAGGTGGCCCCTTACCTTTTCATGTCCGTTCCGGGAATCGAACCCCGGTCGGCTTGGTGAAAGGCGAGTGCGTTAACACTGCGCCACCGGACCACCCGAGAAACAGAATAGATCTGCCTCTTATTACATTTGTAGACAGTTCTTGGTTCTTATTTGTGCCTGTTTTATTTTGGAACCTCAAAAGGCCAATGATCCATTTTGTGACTGATATCAACAATATAATGATAGATAGGTGGCCATTTTGTGACTGATATCATCAATATAATGATAGATAGGTGGCCATTTTGTGACTGATATCAACAATATAATGATAGATAGGTGGCCATTTTGTGACTGATATCAACAATATAATGATAGATAGGTGGCCATTTTGTGACTGATATCAACAACATAATACAATTATTGACTCTTTATTAGGTTGATACAAGGATTCATCAACCCGCAAAAGCGATATTCACCGAGGTCATAGGCAATATAATGATGTTTTTTTTTTAGGTTTGTCATGTTGTAATCACTGATTACTGAAATAGATCTATTTAATGATTGATAATATTGATTTTTATTGAAGTCTGTACAGAGACAGCATCATCAGAGTAATGGTGATCAAGTTTTTAACTCTGAAGATGTTATCAGCACCAAGGAAGGGGTGTTCAGCTCTGTCAATGAAGTAATGGGTAAACCACTCCTTAAAGATCTCGCCAAACTGAGGTAACTTAATATGATATCGTTATTTATCTTTAGTTTAAAATCTTACCACACAAATGACCTCTGTAATTAAATAGTACCTGGTGTTTAACATGATACAAATGATGATAATTCAGTAGTGTTTAAAAGTGCAAGGAAAATAATAAGGTATTTGATATTTCAAGAAGGGCACACAGAATCTAGTTGTATGTAGCATGATGATTATATTTTGTTTGGATTATTGTTATGAAATATTAGGACAAGGGGAGGCAACCCATCCTTATTCCAGTCACATTTGACAAGATAACATTGATACTATTTCAGTAAAACTCATACAGTTGCTGTGAGAGAAAATGAAGCTGAAATCAAAAGAAAAGCAAGAGAACAAAGACTACAGGATGCAAAGCTGAAGAGAGAAAGGCGAAGACAGGAAAAACAAAGTAATCATCTTCCTACCTACCCATTCAAACATTTCTTGCCCCAACTGACAGTTATTTTACCAATGATTTTACCAAAGTGACTATTTTTATACCTTATTTAGAAAACAACCACTGTAAGTTACATGATTTTCCCACGAACAGCATCTTTTTTTTGTACCTCATTCAGACAGGAAATAGTAAGATACATGATAAGAGTTATTTAAACATGTTATTATACCCCGTGTCATCAGTTGGTTGGAGAGTGGGGAATTGATGCTACAATGAGATTCATCACTTTTGCAGTTTCCATCCAAATACAATGAAACTCCACTGATGCAAAGCTCTGGTTATACACATTCACAGCTGAAGTCAGCAAGCACTAAAGTTGTACACATGAAAAGCTGTAGTTAGCACAAGATTAAGCTATACACATGCACAGCTGTAGTCAGTACATACTGACGTTATACCCATACACAGCTGTAGTCAGTACATACTGAAGTTTTACACATGCACGGATCAATACATACTGAAGTTATACACATGCACAGCTGAAGTCAATACATACTGAAGTTATACACATGCACAGCTGAAGTCAATACATACTGAAGTTATACACATGCACAGCTGTAGTCATGTAGTCAGCACAAGATTAAGTTATTCATGCACAGCTGTAGTCAATACATACTGAAATTTTACACATGCACAGCTGAAGTCAATACATACTGAAGTTATACACCTGCACAGCTGTAGTCATGTAGTCAGCAAAAGATGAATTTGTATACATGTACAGCTGTAGTCAGTACCTACTGAAGTTTTACAGATGCACAGCTGTAGTCAATACATACTGAAGTTATACACATTCACATCTGTAGTCAATACACACTGAAGTAATACACCTGCACAGCTGTAGTCAATACATACTGAAGTTATACACATGCACAGCTGTAGTCATGTAGTCAGCACAAGATTAAGGTATACATGCACAGCTGTAGTCAATACATACTGAAGTGATACACGTGCACATATGTAGTCATGTAGTCAGCACAAGATGAAGTTGTCCACATGCACAGCTGTAGTCAGTACATACTGAAGTTATACACATGCACAGCTGTGGTCATGTAGTCAGCACAAGATGAAGTTGTCCACATGCACAGCTGTAGTCAGAACATACTGAAGTTATACACTTGCACATCTGTAGTCAATACACACTGACGTTATACACATGCTCAGCTGTAGTCATGTAGTCAGCACAAGATTAAGTTATACACATGCACAACTGTAGTCAATACATACTGAAATTGTCCACATGCACAGCTGTAGTCAATACATACTGAAGTTATACACATGCACAGCTGTAGTTATACACATAAAACATAATCTCTGTCAGTGTAGTTATACACATAAAACATAATCTCTGTCAGTGTAGTTATACACATAAAACATAATCTCTGTCAGTGTACACATAAAACATAATCTCTGTCAGTGTACACATAAAACATAATCTCTGTCAGTGTACACATAAAACATAATCTCTGTCAGTGTACACATAAAACATAATCTCTGTCAGTGTAGTACACATAAAACATAATCTCTGTCAGTGTACACATAAAACATAATCTCTGTCAGTGTACACATAAAACATAATCTCTGTCAGTGTACACATAAAACATAATCTCTGTCAGTGTACACATAAAACATAATCTCTGTCAGTGTACACATAAAACATAATCTCTGTCAGTGTACACATAAAACATAATCTCTGTCAGTGTACACATAAAACATAATCTCTGTCAGTGTACACATAAAACATAATCTCTGTCAGTGTACACATAAAACATAATCTCTGTCAGTCTACACATAAAACATAACCTCTGTCAGTGTAGTTATACACATAAAACATAATTCTCTCAGTGTAGTTATACATATAAAACATAATCTATGTCAGTGTACACATAAAACATCTCTGTCAGTGTACACATAAAACATAATCTCTGTCAGTGTAGTTATACACATAAAACATAATCTCTGTCAACATAATCTCTGTCAGTGTAGTTATACACATAAAACATAATCTCTGTCAGTGTACACATATAATCTCTGTCAGTGTACATATAACAAATTCATAATCTCTGTCAGTGTACATAAAACATAATCTCTGTCAGTGTACACATAAAACATAATCTCTGTCAGTGTAGTTATACACATAAAACATAATCTCTGTCAGTGTAGTTATACACATAAAACATAATCTCTGTCAGTGTAGTTATACACATAAAACATAATCTCTGTCAGTGTACACATAAAACATAACCTCTGTCAGTGTAGTTATACACATAAACATAATCTCTGTCAGTGTACACATAAAACATAATCTCTGTCAGTGTACACATAAAACATAATCTCTGTCAGTGTACATATAAAACATAATCTCTGTCAGTGTAGTTAACATAAACATAATCTCTGTCAGTGTACACATAAAACATAATCTCTGTCAGTGTACACATAAAACATAATCTCTGTCAGTGTACACATAAAACATAATCTCTGTTAGTGTAGTTATACACATAAAACATAATCTCTGTCAGTGTACATATAAAACATAATCTCTGTCAGTGTACATATAAAACATAATCTCTGTCAGTGTACACATAAAACATAATCTCTGTCAGTGTACACATAAAACATAATCTCTGTCAGTGTACACATAAAACATAATCTCTGTCAGTGTACACATAAAACATAATCTCTGTCAGTGTACATATAAAACATAATCTCTGTCAGTGTACACATAAAACATAATCTCTGTCAGTGTAGTTATACACATAAAACATAATCTCTGTCAGTGTACACATAAAACATAATCTCTGTCAGTGTAGTTATGCACATAAAACATAACCTCTGTCAGTGTACACATAAAACATAATCTCTGTCAGTGTACACATAAAACATAATCTCTGTCAGTGTACACATAAAACATAATCTCTGTCAGTGTACACATAAAACATAATCTCTGTCAGTGTACACATAAAACATAATCTCTGTCAGTGTAGTTATACACATAAAACATAATCTCTGTCAGTGTACACATAAAACATAATCTCTGTTAGTGTAGTTATACACATAAAACATAATCTCTGTCAGTGTACACATAAAACATAATCTCTGTCAGTGTACACATAAAACATAATCTCTGTCAGTGTAGTTATACACATAAAACATAATCTCTGTCAGTGTACACATAAAACATAATACACATAAAACATAATCTCTGTCAGTGTACACATAAAACATAATCTCTGTCAGTGTAGTTATACACATAAAACATAATCTCTGTCAGTGTACACATAAAACATAATCTCTGTCAGTGTACACATAAAACATAATCTCTGTCAGTGTACACATAAAATATAATCTCTGTCAGTGTAGTTATACACATAAAACATAATCTCTGTCAGTGTAGTTATACACATAAAACATAATCTCTGTCAGTGTAGTTATACACATAAAACATAATCTCTGTCAGTGTAGTTATACACATAAAACATAATCTCTGTCAGTGTAGTTATACACATAAAACATAATCTCTGTCAGTGTAGTTATACACATAAAACATAATCTAATCTGTCAGTGTAGTTATACACATAAAACATAATCTCTGTCAGTGTACACATAAAACATAATCTCTGTCAGTGTACACATAAAACATAATCTCTGTCAGTGTACACATAAAACATAATCTCTGTCAGTGTACACATAAAACATAATCTCTGTCAGTGTACACATAAAACATAATCTCTGTCAGTGTAGTTATACACATAAAACATAATCTCTGTCAGTGTACACATAAAACATAATCTCTGTCAGTGTAGTTATACACATAAAACATAATCTCTGTCAGTGTAGTTATACACATAAAACATAATCTCTGTCAGTGTAGTTATACACATAAAACATAATCTCTGTCAGTGTACACATAAAACATAATCTCTGTCAGTGTACACATAAAACATAATCTCTGTCAGTGTACACATAAAACATAATCTCTGTCAGTGTACACATAAAACATAATCTCTGTCAGTGTAGTTATACACATAAAACATAATCTCTGTCAGTGTACACATAAAACATAATCTCTGTCAGTGTAGTTATACACATAAAACATAATCTCTGTCAGTGTAGTTATACACATAAAACATAATCTCTGTCAGTGTAGTTATACACATAAAACATAATCTCTGTCAGTGTAGTTATACACATAATCTCTGTCAGTGTAGTTACACATAAAACATAATCTCTGTCAGTGTAGTTATACACATAAAACATAATCTCTGTCAGTGTAGTTATACACATAAAACATAATCTCTGTCAGTGTACACATAAAACATAATCTCTGTCAGTGTAGTTATATATAAAACATAATCTCTGTCAGTGTACACATAAAACATAATCTCTGTTAGTGTAGTTATACACATAAAACATAACCTCTGTCAGTGTACATATAAAACATAATCTCTGTCAGTGTACACATAAAACATAATCTCTGTCAGTGTACACATAAAACATAATCTCTGCCAGTGTACACATAAAACATAATCTCTGTCAGTGTAGTTATACACATAAAACATAATCTCTGTCAGTGTACACATAAAACATAATCTCTGTCAGTGTAGTTATACACATAAAACATAATCTCTGTCATGTGTAGTTATACACATAAAACATGTAGTTATACACATAAAACATAATCTCTGTCAGTGTAGTTATACACATAAAACATAATCTCTGTCAGTGTAGTTATACACATAAAACATAATCTCTGTCAGTGTACACATAAAACATAATCTCTGTCAGTCAGTGTACACATAAAACATAATCTCTGTCAGTGTACACATAAAACATAATCTCTGTCAGTGTACACATAAAACATAATCTTTGTCAGTGTAGTTATACACATAAAACATAATCTCTGTCAGTGTACACATAAAACATAATCTCTGTCAGTGTAGTAAAACATAATCTCT